ATATAACAAATACTACCTCCGTCCCACTCTTTTTGTCCAGTTTTGACTTTTGGAACTGTTCATCTAAGCACTTTGACTCATCAAATTCTCTCAATGTGTAAGTCTAAAAATAGTCATGTGTGATCTTGTTTGATTTGTCTTAACATATAGATTATTAATATATAATTTTTATAATTTTTTAATATACAAATTACAAGATAAAATGGATTAAAGAAGTGCATTAGATGGTGTGCAAAAATAAAAGTGGACAAAAAGAGTGGGACGGAAGGAGTATCCCGTAGTTGATAATTTGTACTCTTCCATAAATTTAAAGACAAATCCAATCTCAAACATCACTTGTTGCTTGTATATTTCACAAGTAACTATCTAAGAAAAAAAGCATAAAAACACAATAACTAGAACATGTACGTAATTGGGGAGAACATGTAAGACAAATACTTAAGAGAATAAGAGATGATACTCGCCATGTTCTCTTCAACTTATTCTTATTACGGAGTACTTATTACTTTTTTTATTGGAATAACTAATGTTCAGAATCAGATCAAACTAGATCAGATCAAAAACATCTTTAAACATAACTGCATTCAGGTCAAATAAGAACCAACCATTTAGATCAGGTAAAGAGAATAATATGACCTTACCAGTTAATGTCATTTCACTTTCATTTAGACAGCTGCCCCCATAGTATCTTTTTTCCCTATGTCAAGCAATACAAGGCTCTCCACGAAGTTCCCAAGAAATGTATCCCTAAAGTTTATGTTGATTATTCCAACATGATGCTTCAGTTGTTGGCCGTTTAAATCCAATGTGGCTAGGTTGTGCCCCTCCTCATGCTCCCTTCTCACTTTCAATAAAACTTTTCCTTTCTTCCTAACCCCGAATACATCAATAATGAAGTCGGGACCAAAAACGAACGCACCGTTTTCGTCAATTGAATGGAACACCTTTGTCCACGAACTACTTACACCGTACTCCTTCATGACCCACAGCTCAAATTGCCTGTCGTCTAAATATCTATTTCTTCTTCTTCTTCTTCTTCTTCTTCTTCTAACCACCGCAATGGATTCTTCATATTGAACCAAAGACATTTCATACTCCATATCATTAGCTAAAGTTTCAGGAAAATTCATCACATAAAACCTTTCGGTGCTCATATCAAAAGCCGAAATCATATGTGAGGAATGGCCCTTCTTCGAGTCCCAAAAAAGAGCAGGGCAATGCAAAACACCTTTCGCAAAGACGGCATCCCAAGGACTAAACATGCTCTCATTCGGACTCATCACTTCACGATGCCTCGTCCAAGAAAGTCTATTTAAGGAAAACAACCAAACTTCAATGACTACACTTTCTCTGCGTCTGAAATGAAGAAATACAAGTACCTTGAAGTCATTTGATACCGAATCAAACCCAAAACCAAGGTTAGAATCATGGGACTTGCTGTAGGGCAAATCAGGGTTGGGCAGAGTGAAATGCTTGTGAATGGAAGGATTCCATAAAATTATATTATTCCAAGTAGGGTCAGCATCCATTGCGAGACAAATCAACCCTTTACAGGTACCCACTACAAAAAACCCAAACCCAAACTCCAAGGGTCGGAACTGCTTATAATCTCCAAAGGTAGCATCATCATCGCGATGCAAACGACAAAACACTCTTCCATCTCTAACAAAACTGAGAAGGAGGAGGTCGTTGTGGTGAAGAGACAACAGAGCCTGTTGCAGATGAGTTGAAATGAAAGAGGGATCTTTTATGAGAGCGTACCAGGATTTGCACACGGCGGTGCATTTCACCGCCGATTCCACCGGGAGTCGGCTGAGGATGAGCGTGACGACTTCCGGAGGCAAATAGTCAGACATCTCTTCCAGAGTTATGTTTGATGGAACTAACTTTTTATTACTCACTTGATGGAATTGAATAGGCCTTGTCAGAGTGTATATATATATATATATAGTCCGGATATATGTATGGTAGGATTATGCTATGTTTAACTTTTATCTCAATTTGTACCCCACAGTTTTGCACTAACATTTTGTGTTGGTGTAAAACTAATTTTTGTTGAACGCACCAACATTTGTGTCCGTGTGAATTTTTATTAAAGCACCAACACTTGTGTTGGTGTAAACCATTGAAATATTTGTGCAAACCTGTGGTGTACAAATGGAGTATATTTGTTGGTGTAAGTGTAGCATGGTCCATGTATAGTATACGTACCGAGAAGTAAAGTACTTAGTGGTGAAGGAATAAGGAAAGAGGGAATGCTGAATATGTCTTCCACTTGTGCAACTTGACACCTGCATCAAAGTACTTTTTTTAGTATATTTTGGCTCTGTTTCAAAAACGGCTTTTCAGATAACTTTTGATATATTTGATTGATTTTGGCTTTTTTGACTGAACGAACAACTAAAACCATTGTTTGGCTAATGTCTTTTTCACTTAGCATTTTGATGCGAAATGCCAAAATCTGAAATGCCAAGGGGAGTAGCATTTAGACTTGGCTGTTAGAAAAATTAATTTTTTTAAAGTCATTTTTTTTGAAAGATATTTTATAATATATGTAAAAACTAAAATTAAAAATAAAAGTTAAAAAATTAAATACCGAAAAAAATAAAATTTAAAAATTAGAATTTTCAAAAAAATGAAATGAGAAAATAAAAAGTAAAAATCATAGAAAAGTTGTATATTAATAATTTCTTATGAATTAAATGAAAGTAAAATTTAATACTTCGTACTTCATATAGTAAAGATTTAATTTTACATGTAAAAAAATGAAAAATAAGTATCGTGTGTGTATATATATATATATATATACACATACATACATACATACATATAATATGTGTGTGTATGAAAAACTATTTTCAAACAGCTAATTTTACCAAATTTTTTTAACGATCAACCAATTTATTCTGCCGGTCAAACCAGCTGAACTAAACAGCTATTCACAACAGCTGGCACGAACTGCCAACAGCCAACAGCTGACAGCCAACATCCAAACAAGGCTTTTATGTCATATTTTTTTTACAATTTTATTTTTATTACCCCTCTCCCATAAAAAAGTTAACAATTTTGGTCTAGAGTTTTTTTACTCAAGTTATTTTCAATCAACTTTGTATAACGATAGGAAAATTAAATACAGAGTAATAAATATCACACAAGGCCGTGTTCCTAAATAAATTGTATTCTCTGAATTACGTGATGAGAATAGTATTTTATTTTGTCAAATGACCAATGAAAAAACACACACAAATTAAAGTTATCTGATGCCTGAAATAGTAAATAGATGACGTCATCCAATTTCACTATCATACATTCATATCCAAATACTATTTGCCCATTTGAAGAAGCGGAGTATCCGGTGGATTTGAAGAAGTGGAATATTCGGTGGGGTTCTAAAGCCACTTGCTTCGGAAGACACCGACTCAATTGAGGCACTTATGGTGCTTCATTCGTAAAATTGATAGTTCTTTCCGCTCTCCCTCACCCAGTCCCAATCTGAACTCATCCTCACATGTCACGTCAATTGCACCCCGCAAGTTTAGTTAACTTTAGGTCATTTTTTTTAACCCAAAGTCTACTAAACTTGCGGGGTGCAATTGATGCGGGGGAGAGTGTGTGGGGATGGGTTCGGAATAGGACAGGGTGGGGGGTTTATCTGGAAGTCAAGCGATCAAGAAATATCAATTTTACGAACAAAACATCGTAGAAGGATATTGTTCTCCGTGGCAGTATGTGGGCATGGAACCAGGCTACAAATAATAAATACCCCGTACTTGAGAATTTGTACTCTTCCATATATCCATAAAGACAAATCCAATCTCAAAAACATCACTTGCTTGTGTTTTTCACAACAAAACAGCATAAAAACACATGGACTAGAATTAACTAATGGTAAATACGTGAGCCACATAACATGAGCAATATAGTCTTCAATCCATCACAAGTGAAACAGAAATACTCCTAGTGAGTATATATATCAACCACCACATTCCAAATAGAAGTAATTGGGGAGAACATGTACGAAAAATAGGAGAGAATAAGAGATATGGTGTACTCTTACCAGTTAATTTCATTTCACTTTCAATCAGATTTCAGAACGCCCTTCCGGATCTTCTTTACCTATGTCAAGCAAAACAAGGCTCTCCACAAAGCTTCCAACAAATGAATCCCCAGATTTTATCCTGATTCCAGCATGACGCTTGAGTTGGTGGCAGTTCAGATCCAATGTGGCTAGCTCGTGCTCAAGCTCCCCTCTCACTTTCAACAGAACTTTCTCTTTCTTCCTAACCCCAAATGCACTAAGCAATCGTGCATCAAAAACTAACACCTTTGCCCACGAACTGTTTACGCCGTACTCCTTCATGACCCACAACTCACATTGCCTGTCATTTGAATTTCTATAGCTTCTTCTAACCACCGCAATGGATTCTTCGTACTGAATCAAAGACATCTCATACTCGATATTAGCCAAAGTTTCGGGATAATTCATCACATAAAACTCTTCGGTGCTCACATCAAAAGCCGATATCATATTTGAGAAACGCCGCTTCTCCGAGTCACGAAAAGTTGTAGGGGAATGCAAAATGCCTTTCACAAAAACCGCATCCGAATGGTCAAACATACTTTTCGATTCGGACTAACTTCATGACGCATCGTCCAAGAAAGTCTATTTAAGGAAAATAACCAAACTTCAATCACCCTTTCTCTATTTGTGAAATGCAAAATTAGAAGTACCTTGTAGTCATTCGATGCCGAATCAAACCCAAAACCAAAGGTAGTATCATAAGACTTGGTGTAGGGAATATCAGGGTTGGGCAGAATGAAATGCTTGTGAATGGAAGGATTCCACAAGATTATGTTCCAAGTACGACCTGCAGCCTTTGCGAGACAAATCAACCCATTACACGTACCGATAGTTTTAAAAGATCCAAATCTACACTGGAAGGGCAAGCAGAACTGCTTGTGCTCTTCTTCAAAGGTAGTGTCATCATTGCGGCGCAAATGATAAACCTCTCTTCCATCTCTTTCAAAACAGAGAAGAAGGTTGTTGTAAAGAGACGACGCAGCCTGTTGCAGATGAGAGGAAATGAAAGTGGGATCTTTGATGAGAGCGTACCAGGTGTTGCAGACGGCGGTGCATTTCACCGCTGATTCCACAGGGAGTCTCCTGAGGATATGAGTGATGAGTTCAGGAGGCAAATAGTCAGACATCTTGGAGAGTTTAGGTTTGATGAAACCCCTCTAACTCTCTCTAAAATATAATTTTCACGTGGGAATTGAAGAGGTCTTCCACTTCTCTCAGATTCCTAAAGAAACAGAGTGGATGGATGGATGCTGAGGAAAATCTTTCTCCGGAGCTTATGGTTGCCTGCCTGTCATGGTTATAAATAGTAAATAATAAATTATGTAAAGATGAAAGAAATAAGGGAAATTCCGAAAGAGGGAATAGGTCCCCACTCATGCATCTTGAGACATCACATCGAACTTTTAATTTTTTCTATGTATTTTTGTCATATTTTCATATTTTTACTACTCGTACAATTTTATTTTTATTGCCCCTCTATGTCCCATAAAAAAGGTTATAAATTTTTTATTGAAGTCATTTTCAATTCAATTTATATAAAGATCGGTATAAAATTAAATATGGAGAAATAAATATTACTACAAAATATTACATGGTGCGAAACCTCATGGATTTTAAATTTATTTCATTTATAAATTAGTACTGAAATAAAAAATAGAACTTGCATATTTAAAAATTACGCTAAAACTTTTACTTCCTCTATCCCAAAAAAATTATCCTATTTCAAACATATAAAATCACCTCTATTTTAAAATGATTTTATTTACAAATTGGGATAGAAAAAAAGTGCAACTTATATATTAAAAAATTATATATATAAATTAAAAAATAAGTGGTGACAAGAATATTTTATTTTATCAAATAACGAATGAAAAAGTACACTTAAAGTTATCGGAAGCTTGAAATATTAAATAGGAAAATTTTTTTGGGATGGAGAGAGTAGTAAGACGTGACAAAAATATAATATTTAATCAAATTATCAATAAAAAATGTTAATAAACAAAAGTTATTGGGAGACCAAAATAGTGAAAATACAATCTATTTTGGGGGTGTTCAGAAACACTACAATATATGTTACTCCCCTGCTCAATTACCCTATTACAACTTAGGTTTTATCCTTTATACTGGATGCAAGTACTTGATCCAATTGAAGGAAATCAACACTCTCTAGTAGAGAGCAGCAAATTATATAGCACCCATTGTAACTTTTAATTTCAGTATATGAACTTGTTCCATACTAAATCAACCAATGAGAGGGCTCACTATCACCTATCATCCATTTATAACTTTTATTGACAGTAAATTTCTGCCCTATTGCAAATTTTTAAACTCATTTTGCCCTCAGATTAATTTTTTGCAGTATAAAAAGATATTGCTCTTGGGAGAGTAATCCCAAAGTGATTTGTTCTTAATGTATCTTTGTGAGTTCATTTCATGCAAAGTATGCATTCCTTTTTAGCCACATCCCAAATTAGTTTCATAGTAGTGACCGCATTCCAAAATATCAAGTTTTTTAGGTCCAATCCTCAAAATTTCTTTGGCAATCACACATCTTCTCCCCATAAAAAAAAATCATGCAAACAGTCTGAATTCTTTTCATCACTTTAGAAGGTAAAATAAACAATCCACTCCAAGTCCCAGATTATGGGCATCTCCAATGGAGTAGTGTATATTGTTAAATATACACTTTATGCAATTTCATGAACATAATTTGACCCACCGAATGATAGTATAAAACTAATTGTAAAAACCACTATATTGCAAAAACAAATTTTCTGTTTATACAAGGTAGTGTATAAAGAGTGTATTATAAACTTGGTAGAATATAGAAGATATGGTTAGAATGAGTATAAAAAAGTGAGTGTGAAAAACAGTATTAGGCAGATTTCTTGGGCATTAGGGGGGAGAACTTACTACGTTTCTGCCACAGCACGGGCAAGAACTTAGGCAAAACTTGGAGCATGACTGCCTTGCTGCTGCCAGGGGGTTTGGGAAATGGTCTGAACCAGACTTGGGGCCTGAAACCAGAGCCAAGCTTGAGGAGTGGTGACCTTGGGGAGGCTTGATGTCTTGATAGGGATCCAAAACACGTGCATTTGAACTCCCAGGAACATCTTGGGGATTAATAGAAGCCCCCTGGTCAGCCAAAGGATCCCCAAAAATGTAAGAAACAACCATGGAGTTCATTTGAGCATTTCGTCGAACAGTTGGGGAAAAGAGTTGACATAAAGCGAAAACCCATTCTGCCCCTCAGGATCTTCTTCCCCTTTGTCAAGCAATACCAAACTCTCCACAAAGCCCATAACAATTGAAACATTACATTTCACCCTGATTTCAAAAGGCATCAACTGTTGCTCCTGCTGGTAATAATTTGGAAGATCATCTAATTTTTCAACTATCTCTTCATCTAAAATATCACTTACAACTTGAAAATGTGAATTGGGCGGATGATATTTCTTGGAAACAGAGGAAAAAGATGCCCAGTTGGAGGTGGAATCTGGTTTGGTTCTAACAGGAGAGAAGAAGGATGACTATGTTGAAGAGGCCAATTTCAACTTATACGATATGATCAGAGAAACATATCCCAAATGCCCAATAATTCCAACCTTAAACATCACTTGTTTCCAAACTTCACAAGTAACTAACTAAACACCATAAAAACATATTGCCCGAATCCAGTAAAAATAATGCATCAAATCATATACTTGTAATAAGTAAACATCTGGCTTTCGGGCATTAAACGAATTGAACGAAAATTTCAATCAAACCCAGAGATAGAGCAATTTCATACAGTATCTCCTTGCCCTATGTCAAGTAATACTAAGCTCTCCATGAAGCTCCCAACAAATGAATCATCATACTCCACCTTGCTTCCAAGAACACGCTTCAGCTCCTGCTGGTGGCAGTTCAAATTTAGTCTAGCTAGCTCGAAACCATCCCCATACACCCATTCCACTTTCAATAAGACTTCCCCGTTCTTCCTTACCCCAAACACATCAATCCATTCAACCTCAAAAACAAACTTTCCGTTTTCGTCAATGGAATGTAACACCCTCGTCCACGAACTACTTTCACCATACTCCTTCATGACCCACAACTCAAGTTGATCGTCATCAAAATTCTGCGCAACCACTGCAATAGAGTCTTCGTATTGAATCAATAGCAATTCGTGTGCAAAATGAACTAAAGTTTCAGAATAATCTATCGTATACAACTTTTCGGTGCTTATATCAAAAGCCAAAATCATATGTGAATACAGGTCATCATTCGAGTTAAATGAATATGTAGTCCAATGAAAAGCACCTTTCACAAATACCGCCTGCTTACATCTAGACCAACCATGTTTTGGATAAATTTCACTAACTTTTGTCCAAGAACACCTATTTAAGGAAAATAACCAAACTTCAGCCAAATTTTCTGTAGAGGAGCTCTTAGGCACAAACAGGAGTACCTTGCAGTCGTTTGTTCTTGAATCAAACCCAAAACCTAGGGTAAATCGAGAAGTCATCCCGGAGGGAAAAACAGATTTGGGCAAAATGAAATGTTTGTGGATGGAAGGATTCCACAAAATAATACCCCAGGAATCTGCGAGACAAATTAGCCCATTACATGTGCCAAAAACTGTAAAACACCCAGCTCTGCGCGCGAAGGGAAAGAGGAACTGCTTATACTCTTCTAAGGCATCATTGTCCCGACGCAATTGATAAACATCTCTACCGTATCTAACGACTCTGAGGAGGAGAAGGTCGTTGTGAGGAGACGGAGACGCAGACGCAGCTTCCAGATGACCCGAAATGAAAGACGGATCTTTGATGAGATTGTACCAAGCCTTGCAAACGGAGGTGCATTTCACCACCGACTCCACTGGGAGTCTTATGAGGATTTGTGTGATGACTTCAGGAGGCAAATACTCATACATCTTCTTCGTCTTCTTCTTTGTAAGGTATCGGCAGATTAAATCCAAATCCTAATTTGAGAGTAAAAATTGATCAAACCCTCGCTCTCATCACTGTCTAAATCCTCCTCCCAAGAAGTACAGAAAACTCAGGATTCCGAATGAAATACAGAAATCGGATCCGGGGGGTTATGGTCGGCCGATCTATCACACGATTAGGGGAATTTAAAATCCAATCACTGAGTAAAATTTTACTTGAACTGCCAAACACCAACCAAGAAGAAGGGGAATTGCCGTGCGGCTGGAGAGGAAATTAAGCAGTGTTTGGTTCGAGGTAGGGGAGGTAATTTTTCCAGAGGTAATCCTACCCCTTAACAGTGCTTTTCTCGTGACCGCCCTTTTGGCGAACAACCACGGTAGGTATTTCTTTTTCCGCTGCTGCCCTCCTCCTCTCCTTTTCGGAATACTCTATAACCTTGCGATGAACAGTGCCGCGAAGAGGGTATCGCTGATTACTCCATGAATTTGAGCTTGCTTTGCATCATTTTTGGAACCTAGGGGCGCCTACAGCTGGTGCATCCAATTCAGGAGCTTATTCGCTGTTTTTCGAGAAGGAATTTGCAAGAAACAAAGGTCAACGCTAGTGTGGCACTGTTCACTCACGATTGAATACAACTCGATTTGGGCTATTTTGATGGATAACAAAGGAATTTGCTGTTTTTCCCTTTTAAACAAAGGAATTTGCTCCGATTTGGGCTAAACGAAGGAAATTGCTGTTTCCCCTTTTTTTGTTTTATTTTTAGGGATTTTTTTTGAGTAAAATAACAAGGGCATATAAGTAAATTTATTATTTTACCTACCTCACATTACCTAATAAATATCCAAACATAATTTTTCAATTTATTACCTTACTTTACCTACCTTCAATTACCTACCTCCAATTACCTATCATTACCTACCTAATAATAACTTAACCTACCTCCAACCAAACATACCCTTAGAGTTTTAGGGTTAGAATGATTCTTATTATTGATAAGAATTATTGGTGATAGAGAAATCATGTTCCTAATTAACTAGATTAAGAGTTACGAGTTTATACTTCTACTCAACTAATAAAATCTAGAGTATAATAAAAAATAAATATTCTTTCTGCCCTAAAATGTTCTTCTGGTTTTTATTTACGAAGTTTGGCCGGTTTTATTTTCAATTTAATTTATATGATTGTAGGTGAAATTAAAAAATAGAATTTATATATTTAAAAACTAGATCAAAAGTTTTATAAAATAAGAGATGACAAGACTATTTTATTTTCTCAAATAACTAACCAAAATAGGTAAAAAAAAGTGATTAAAGTTTGATCATGTAAATAGTAACTGAGAAGAACATTTTGAGACAGAAAGAGTAAGGGATAAACTTCTAATGCATCTCGAACTCCTTTTGCCAATCGGGAGCATGGCGTGGACGAATACTCTTACGTCATTACGTGCCCCTGTCTCCTTGCGTGCTTCTACCTGCTGCTCGTCACCAGCCTGTGGAACCGTAACACAAGAAATTTACTGTGATACTCGTTATGAGAAACAAGAAATATACTATAATACTCGTTACGAGAAACAAGGAATATACTCTAATACTTGTTATGAGAAAATGGGATAAAGATTTGGGATTATTCTCAGGCACTTGTCACAAACAAATCTATTTTAAATATTGAGTCGCTATAAATACAGGATTTAATTTTATTTAATTATTTTATTTGACCATACAAAAGACTTTTGATAAAAAAATCCATTTCTCATAAAAAATAAAGTTTTAATTTGACGAAAGACAAAATAAATTAAAGTCAATGAAATTATGTGATTAAAAGTAATACTCCCTCCGTCCGGTATTAAAGTTTACGTTTTGACTTATTGTCATTTTTATTGGGAGTTGACTAAGCACTTGAAATACCAAAAATACCCTTTCTCCCTTTTGCTTCTCCACTTGAACACAATACGGAAAACAGACCGTCCTCCGCTCAAAATCGAAAATACAGCTCAAAATTGGAAAACAGCCCATCCTACTTCGGGAGAAAGAATAGGCGACTCCAACGCGACCGGTCTCAGCCGATTTGGTTACCGGAATCGCCAGATTGCCGCCGCGACCCGGGCTGGCCAGCGGGTTTTCCTCAATTCCGGCCACCTCCGCCACCTCTGACGTCGCGCAACCACCAGGCACCTCCCACAGTCCATCCAACCACAGAGGAACCATCAATTGCAGAAATTGAAGCCAATTTGAAGAAACCGCCAATTTCGGATCCTAGGGTTTTCCCGAGCCTAAAATCTTCAATTTGTGAAGTTCAAGGAAAAATTGGAAAAAAGGACTGGATATTCGTGATCCTCGTGCAAAAACGGTTCATTTGGCGTTGGTTCCGTCCGTTTCTGCTCAGGAGAAAGAAAAGAAGAAGAAGAAGAAGAAGAAGAAGGGGAAGAGCAGCGGATGGGAGAAACTGAGAAAGAAAAAGAAAAAAAAAGGAACCAAGGAAAAAGAGGATGAAGGGGGGAGAGGGAGAGAAATTGAAATGGTAGAGAAGGGTATTTTTGGAAGAGTGTGGGTTAAAATTAGAAATGTAAATTTTATTTTCGGACGGAGAAAAAGGAGAAACGTAAACTTTATTTCCGGACGGAGGGAGCACAAATTAGAAATATAAGTCACAAAATCTCCTCTAAAAGTGAAAAGATGAACTATTTTTTGGGATGTCTCAAAAAAATGATGACTTTTTATAGGGCAAAATGAGAATTTATCTTCCAAAAATGAAATTCATTTAAAACAATCTCTTCAATTATGCTCCATTGTTTTTAGTGTACTCATTTAATTTGAAATTTTCAAGTCAAATCGGATAAATTTTAAATTTCATTTAGTCTAAATTTATATTGCATATTAATAAAATGACAAACAATTTTAAAAATTCTCAATAATATAAAAAATACGGAGTAATTCTTAAATTAATATACATTATACTCCATAGATTTTTACCCTGGGTGTGAAGCTAATTCAATTTGAATAAAAAAAAGTTAAACTTAACAAATACATTGAGATATACATAGTATTTTAATTGTTAAAATATAACCAATTCATGTTTTTTTTTTAAATTTGAAATCATCCAAACCATTGGGCAAGTTTTCAAGGGTTATAGTAATGTAGACTTTAACTCAGGGGATAACCTGGTGAATTTTAGAGATACGATACGATAAGTGTTTTAAAATTTGAGAAGATTGATATGAATTTTAAAATCTTAAATGATGTTTTTTGGAGAAATTTAAAAGAGTAAATTTCATAAATGTTTCTAATTACTCCCTCCGTCCCCCTGTATTTGTCCACATTTGACTTTTAGAACTTTTCATCAAAACACTTTGACTCATCAAATTTTCTCAATGTGTAAGTCTAAATATAGTCATGTGTAATCTTGTTTGATTTGTCTTAACATATAGGTTATTAATATATAATTTTTATAATTTTTTAATATACAAATTACAAGATAAAATGGATTAAAGAAGTGCATTGGATGATGTGTAAAAATGAAAGTGGACAAATACAAGGGGACGGAGGGAGTACAAGTTATTTTTCTTATTTAATCGCCAAATTTAAGATATTAGATAAACGATCCTCAAATTTTGAAAATTATTGCATAAGTAGTCCTTTAGGCCAAATATGTCAAAATATTTTTACTATATAGTCCCTGAAAGACCGATTATGGAATAATTTTCAAAACTTGAAAATCACTTATGTAATATCTAAAAATTAGGTACTAAATTCGGAAATCACATGTTATTTGGGATAATTTGTGGAATTCACACAATTTAAAATAATGATTTAAAAAGTGATATATACGTGAGGGTGACCAGCAACGAAAGTGGTTGGTTGTGAGTTGTGACAATCGTAGATGGTAGTGGGGAATGGTCAACGGTTTAAAAACTGCATCAATCAAATGATATACTCCGTTTGCTTCTTGGCATCAAACGGATTGAACTAGACGTTCAGTAAAAACCAACTTGATGGTCTTCTTAATCCCAAGAGAAAGCAGTATGTAAGATATGCAATGAAAATATACACCAGCCTTAAAGCATTGAGTCATTAACAGGTAGCCTTCAGACATGAGCACAACATCCTTTACAAGTGAAACAGAAATTTTCCTTAGTATATATATATGACTAGCACATTCCCATTCCAATTCAAATCAAGTAATTGCAGAGGGCATGTGGTAAGGGATGGAGAACTTACGAGCTAATTAATGTGATTTCACGTTAGTATCTTCTTCCCCGTTGTCAAGTAACACCAGACTCTCCACATTGCTACCAAAGTATGAGGCATATATGTCAATGTCACCAACAAGACACTTGAGTTGCTGGTTCGGCGTGTGGCAGTTCAAATCCAGTGCAGCTAGCCAGAAATCATACCCACGGTCCCCTCTCACTAACAATAAAAGTTCCCCATTCTTCCTAACCCCTAACTCATAAAACACGTGTGAATCATAAACGAACTCTCCGTTTTCACCAGTTGAATGTAACACCTTCATCCACGAACTATCTTCACCGTACTCCTTCATGACCCACAACTCAAGCTGCTCCTCACCCAAAACCTCAAAGATGCCAGTTGCAACCACTGCAATGGACTCTCCATATTTAGTCAAGCGCAATTCGTGTACATGGTTCTTTAAAGTTTCAGGATAATTTAGCACATGAAACTTTTCAGCGCTTAGATCGTAAGCCAAAATCATATGCGTGAACATGTCATCATTCATATATCCAGGCCAATGCAAAGCACCTTTCAGAAACACCACCTGGCCAAAACCATAACAACTATGCTTGGGACATACTTCGCTAAGCCTCGTCCAAGAACACCGATTTAGCGAAAATAACCAAACTTCAGTCAAATCTTCGTTGGCAACCGGAGGCATAATCAGAAGTACCTTGTAGTCATCTGATTCCGAATCATACCCGAATCCTATGGCTGCTTTATAACGGCCCTGCTGCTTATACTCTTCAAAGGCGTCATTCTCTTGATACAGACGATAAACCATTCTCAAAGTGCTACCACATAGACCGAGAAGGAGAAGGTAGTCGTCCTGAAGAGCCGCAGCCTGCTGCAGATGAGTGGAAATGAAAGAGGGATCTTTGATGAGAGTGTACCAGGATTTGCAGACGGCGGTGCATTTCACCGCCGATTTCACAGGGAGTCGGATGAGGATGAGCGTGATGACTTCCGGAGGCAAATAGGGGCGCATATGCTTCCTGGAGGATCTGGATTCCAGCCGCAAATAGTCCGATATCTTTCTCCTTCGTCGTCCTGAGTTATCTGTAGATAATTATTAGTTCCAAATCGAGAGTCTCTCGGTGTCTCTATTCTCAGCGCCTTTAAACGGCGGTGCATTTCACAGGGAGTCTCCGGAGGACGAGCGTGATTACATCCGGAGGCAAATTGCCACAGGTCTTCTTCATCGTAGAGCCCTAATAATCCCTACCTATCAAGAAATTCGAAGAATTCTGTTTTAATTTTTATTCCGGACTGTGAAAAACACTCCAAAACAACAATTCAGACTAACAGGTTAGGGTCCAAAGAAACAACAATAACGGGGAAAGGTAGAAACAAAAGCTTGAGAATCTAAGGATTGGATTTAAGAGAGATACCTTCACTAATCATCGAGAGAATGCATGCTCAATTTCTGCTATTTTCTTCCACACTCGCCAATTAGTTTCTTCTCCAATATTTTTCAAACCCTCCTCAATACCCTGTCTGTTTTCAAAACTGCATATAATTTTAAGATGCTGAAATTGTTTATTATCTTTTGACTAATTTTTTGGAAAATAAGGGAGGTATTAGTGCATATTTTTTAAACCATAGGATGTATCGGTGTTGATTTCTCGCTTATTTTTTGTTTTTTCCATTTTTCTCTTTTTTTTGTTTCATTTATTAATAAAAAAATTTTAAAATTATTTTTATAATGTTTTTAAAATTTAAAGTTATTTTTGTTAGAAAAAATTAACATATAATGCATATGTACGTATCAAATTAACAATTTTTATTTTTTCTGAAAAAAATAAAATTTTTTGAGAACTTATTAAAAAAAGAGGAATAAATTAAGAAACAAAAAAATACAAAAAATAAAAATGTTTCTAATTAACTAGGTTAAACAACAAGGAGGAAAGTAAGTTTTTATAGTTCCTGTGATGATAGTTCCTCTCAACGAGGAGTATAAAATTTAGAGTACAATAATTAATAAATAATCAAATTAATAAATACTCTCTCCGTTTCTGTTTGTGAGATTTGACTGATTTTATTTTTAATTCAATTTATTTAATTGTAAGTGTAAAATTTAAAAATAAAATTTATATATTTGAAAATTAAATCAAAAGTTTTACAAAACAAGAAGTGACAAGACTATTATTTTATCAAATAACTAATCAAAATACGTAAAGAAAGTAATTAAAGGTTGACTGTGTAAATAGTAACTGTGAAGAACATTTTAAAACGAAGGTTGACCTGTGTCAAGTGATAAACTTCTTACGCATCTCGAACTCCTTTTGCCAACCCGGAGCACGACATGGACAAACACTCCTACGCGCCCTTGTCTCCTTGCGTGCTTCTACCTGCTCCTCGTCACCAGCCCGCGGGATCGTAACACAAGGAATACACTGTAACACTCCAGTAATACTCGTTATGAGAAGATGGGAAAAATGTTATTCTTAGGCACTTGTTACAAACAAGTCTATTTAAAAAACTGAGTTTCTATAAATAGAGAGTTTAATTTTTTTTATTTGACCATACAAAAGACTTTTGATAAAAAATCCCTTCCTCTTACAAAATAAAGTTTTAATTTGACTTAGGACAAAATAAATTTAAGCCAGTGAAATTATGTGATTAAAAATAATACGAATTAGAGAGAAAAAATAAGTCACAAAATATTCTCTAAAAGTGGAATGATGAACTATTTTTCGGAATGTCTCAAAAGAAATGATGACTTTGTTAATAGGACAAAATGAGTATTTATCTTCCAAAAATAAAATTCATTTATAACATTCTCTTCAATCATACTCCATCGATTTCAATGTATTAATTTGATCTGAAATCTTCAACTCGAATAAACTTTAATTTTCTATTAATCAAAATTTATATTGCATACTAATAAAATGACAAATAATTTTGTAAATTCTCAATAATACTATTTATTTTATGAAATACGGAGTAATTCATATACTAATATACATTATACTCCATGGATTTTACTCGGGTGTGAAGCTCATTCAATTTGAGTCAAAAAAGTTAAACTTGAAAAATACATTGAGATAGAGGTAGTATTTTAATTTTTAAATAATAACCAATTTATGTTTTTTTTAAAAAAAAATTAAAATCATCCAAACCATTGGGCAATTTTCAAGGGTTATAGTAGTGTAGAGTTTAACTTAAGGGGATAACCCCGTTTGGTGAATTTTAGAAATACGATATGATAAGTGTTTTAAAATTTGGGAAGATTGGATTTTGAAATTTTAAATGATGTTTTTGGAGAAATTTAAAAGAGTAAAATAGTAAATTTCATCAATGTTCCTAATTACAAGTTATTTTTCATATTTAGTCCCCAAATTGAAGATATTAAATAAATGATCCTCAAATTTTGAAAATTATTGCGTAAGTAGTTCTTTAGGCCAAGTATGTCGAAATATTTTTACTATATAGTCTCTAAAAGACTGATTATGGAATAATTTTCAAAACTTGGAGATCATTTATGTAATATCTTAAAATTAGGTACTAAATACGAAAATCCCATGTTATTTGGGAAAATTTATGGAATTTACTCAATTTAAAATCATGATTTAAAAAGTGATATATATGTGGGGGTGACCAACAACAGAAGTGGTTGGTTGTGGGAATCGTAGCCGGTGGTGGGGAATGTTCAACGGTTTAAAAATGATATAACAAATAATTAAATATCTACCTTCTCGCTGTCAAAAATGATGTATAAATAATCCTAATTAAAACCAACTTGTTGGTCTTCTTAATCCCAAGAGTAGTAGTATGTAAGATATGCAATGAAAAAATACACCAGCCTTAAAGCATTGAGTCATTAACAGGTAGCCTTCAAACATGAGCACATTATCCTTTACAAGTGAAACAGAAATTTTCCTTAGTATATATATATGACTAGCACATTCCCATTCCAATTCAAATCAAGTAATTGCAGAGGTCATGCAGTAAGGGATGGAGCACTTACGAGCTAATTAATGTCATTTCACTTTAGTATCTTCTTCCCCGCTGCCAAGTAACACCAGACTCTCCACGTTGCTACCAAAATATGAGGCATATATGTCGATGTCACCAACAAGACCAAGACCCTTGAGCTGGTGGTTATGCGTGTGGCAGTTCAAATCCAGTGTAGCTAGCCTGAAATCATGCCCAAAGTCCCCTCTCACTATCAATAAAAGTTCCCCATTCTTCCTAACCCCTAACACATAAAACAATTCTGAATCAAAAATGAACTTTCCGTTTTCGCCAGTTGAATGTAACACCTTCATCCACGAACTATCTTCACCGTACTCCTTCATGACCCACAACTCAAGCCGCTCCTCATTTAAAACCTCAAAGATGCCAGTTGCAACCACTGCAATGGACTCTTCATATTTAGTCAAGCACAATTTATGTTCATGGTTCGTCAAAGTTTCAGGATAATTCAGCACATGAAACTTTTCGGTGCATAGATCGTAAGCCAAAATCATAGTATGTGTGAACATGCCATCATTCAAATATCCATGCCAATGCAAAGCACCTTTCACAAACACCACCTCGCTAAGACAATAACAACTATGCTTGGGACATACTTCACTAAGCCTCGTCCAAGAACACCGATTTAGGGAAAATAACCAAACTTCAGTCAAATCTTCTTCAACAACCGGAGGCATAACCAGAAGTACCTTGTAGTCATCAGATTCCGAATCATACCCAAATCCTATGGCTGATTTATAACGGCCCTCAAAGGGCAAATCAGGTGTGGGGAAAATGAAATGTTTCTGGATGCAAGGATTCCACAAAATTATATTGTAAGAATCACTGTTGAAACCTGCCAGGCAAACCAGCCCATTACACATACCACAAATTAAGAAAACGCTAGATCCACCAAGCTTGACGGGTGGGTGGATCTGCTTGTACTCTCCAAAGGCGTCGTTTTCGCGATACAAACGATAAACCAGATTCAAACTCCTACCACATAGACCGTGAAGGAGAAGGTAGTCGTCCTGAAGAGCCGCAGCCTGGTGCAGATGAGCGGAAATGAAAGAGGGATCTTTGATGAGAGCGTACCAAGCCTTGCATACGGCGGTGCATTTCACCGCCGATTTCGCCGGGAGTCGGCTGAGGATGAGCGCGATGACTTCCGGAGGCAAATAGGGGAGCATCTGCTTCCTAGAGGATCTGGATTCCAGCCGCAAATAGTCCGACATCTTTCTCCTTCGTCGTCCTGAGTTATCTGCAGATTATTATTAGTTCCAAATCGAGAGTTTCTCGGTGTCTCTATTCGCAGCGCCTTTAAACGGCGGTGCATTTCACAGGGAGTCTCTGGAAGACGAGCTTGATGACAAACCCTCACCAATTTTATACATGTGGCTAAATGGCAAAATCCATCCTTACAATAAAATGTAATAGCTCATGATGTCTTTAAAAATAAATGCAATTAAAATTATTAATGTAAGGACAAAATGAGAAAATTACATTTTTAACCGTCATTAGCGAAACATTGAAAACATTATTTCCCAACAGTCCTTACAATAAAATGTAAGAGCTCATGATGTCTTTTTAAAAATACACGAACCTATAAGTTATTTTAAAAAAACATGCATGACCTAAAAATAATTTGGGTTAAATGATGAGTTGCTTCTAATTTTTTATAATTTTAAAGGCATATTAATTTTAAAGGCATATTAATTTTAAAGGAGTATTTATTATAAATGAAATGACTTAGCGAAAATAGAAGTGGATATTGCAAAACCCTAATTTTAGATGTTAATCAATACGCTTAAATGTATTTTTTTAATAGGATAAGAGCTTCTTCTATTCGTTTAATTTGATTTCATTACGATCTAGTTTAATCGGATCTGATTTGAGTTAAGTATGGTTATAAACTTATAATTAAAACTATTTATTATATGACCTGATCGGATTTGATCAGATCTTATTTGATTCTAATAAGAATATGTAATAGTCCCTTTGTCCCAAAATAAAATTCTTGCTCAATGTACGATATTTTACTGAAATTATTTTCGAATCAATTTAACTAAAAATTGGTGTAGAATGGAAAATAATTGGAATAAGTTGAGGAGAACAAACTTTAGGTAATGTTCTTTTCAACTTATTTTTTTTACTAATTACTTATTCTTATTGAAGCAAGGAAAAAAGAAGAAAATTGGAAGAAAATGCAAATGCAAAATGCACTAAGAGGGTGCCATTTTGGTAAGAATGAAAGAAAACTACTTCTTTTCTTTTCCTTGTGAATTCTTTAAAAACCAAACATAGTGTAAGACAATCATAGTTGGAAAAAGTGAAAATGTTAATACCATGGGAGTCATGAAGAATGAAGATGCAAGGTTTGATCTGAATATCACTCTACCCAAGTGGGAAGAAGTGTTTTTGAGTGGAACCTCGGGCCTCGGCGCAATATTGGAAGAAAACTGGACCTCAAATCACATGATTGGTTAAGAAATCACAACTCAACAGTCAAGACTACTTGTGTTATCAACTTCTGGAGCAAGGAGTGGAGTGAGTAAGGGAAAGTACAACATCATCATCATCATACATATAATTATAGTTGGAATGTTCCTGTCGGTGGCAGTTCAAATCCAACATTGCTAGCTCGCAACCATGCCCTTCCTCCCTTCTCACATTCAATAAAAGTTCCCCTTTCTTCCTAACCATTGGCGCAATTTGATAACAAAAGTTCCCCTGGAAAAATGAAAACATTACCAATTTGAACGTGGGAAGGAAGCAATATACAGACCTACTATGGACTCGGAAATGTCCAAATAAGCTCCTGTAAGGGGGGTTGGATGTTGTTCTTCTCATATTTGTACTCCCTGTGGGAACTTCAGATTTCACTTTCGCAATCTACACATATTACAAGCATTTTAAAAATATATAAGAGCCTCTCTATTCCAAACACACTAAAATTTGGGGTTGTGCCTATGTTAACTAGTCACATAACCATTCACAAAATCAGGAATCAAAAACTCTAAATATGAGAAGCTAGTCACTGACTATTTGCATTCATTTCACATATGTGTCTGAGTCATGCTATAGAGTTTTATAAGCAATGAGACTTTAGGCTTTTTGAATGGAATCATACTTGAGATAAGGTAAGAGAAAACCAAAAACTGATATTTATTCAAATGACAGTGTCTTCAATCTTAGGAGAGTCTAAGAGCCACTTACAATCATGTATTGGTTCCCGCAGAGATGCTAATTTTTTAAAACTTTGCAGCAATAGTATATTGGTATTCGTAAGCACAATTTTCACACTTAAAGTTTAATGATGATCATCAATTAGTAAAATTTCTGAATAATTACTTGATGATTTGTGCTCTTCCTTGCTTCAAAAAAGTCAAATCCAACATCAAACATCACTTGTATATTTCAAGTAACCAGCAAAAGAGCATAAAAACACAATGCAATAAAAATGGACTAAATAAAGATGCGGCTCTTGGCATTAAGTGTGAATTAAGCTAATATTTCAATAAAAACCAGCTTGATAGTCTTTATCCCAAGAGAAAGTAATACATAAGACATTCAATGGAAAATACATCAGTAATAGAACATTAAAAAAACAGCCCTAAAAACAAAAGAATATTATTCTTTCACAAGCACATACCAATTCTAATTAAGTAATTGCAGAGGTCATGTACGATAAGAAGAGATGACACACTTACAAGCTTATGCCATTACACTTTTATTCAGACTTCCCCCTCACATCTTGTTCCCCTTTGTCAAGTAACACCAGACTCTCCACAAAGTTTCCAACAAACGAATAATTAAGATCAATCATGATTCCAAGACGCTTTAGTTGCTGCTTCTGTTGGTCGCAGTTCAAATCCAGTGTAGCTAGCTCATAATTTTTCCCACACTCCTCACGCACCTTCAATAAAACCTCCCCATTCTTCCTGACCCCAAACACGTCAATCAAGTCTGAATCAAAAACTAACTTTCCATCTTCACCAATTGAATGCAACACCTTTGTCCATGAACTATCTACACCGTACTCCTTCATGACCCACAACTCAAGCTGATTGTCATCTAAATCTTCAAAACTGCCATGGGCAACCACAGCAATGGACTCTTCATATTTAATTAATGACATTTGGGGTACAAAGTGAACTAAAGTTTTGGGAAAGTTCACCACAAAAAACTTTTCAGTGCTCAAATCAAAAGCCAAAACCATATGCGAGAACATCCAATTCTTCAAATTAGAATGTCCAATCCAATGCAAAGCACCTTTCACAAAGGCTGCCTCCCTATGTGCATGCAAACAATGCTTGGGAGAGGCTTCACTAAGCCTCGTCCAAGAACACCTGTTTAATGAAAACAACCACACTTCAATCAATTCTTCTTTATTATCCTGAGCCACAATTAGAAGTACCTTGTAGTCATCTGACACTGGATCAAACCCGAAGCCTAGGGTATTATCGCAAAAGCTCTTGAAGGGAAAATCAGGATTGGGCAAAATGAAATGTTTGTGAATGGAAGGATTCCACAAAATTATATTGCAATAATCTTGATAAACATCTCCCAGACAAATCAGCCCATTACATGTACCAACAAGTCTAAAAGCCCCAAATCCACCACACTCGAAGGGTAAGTGGAACTGCTTGTACTCCTCAAAGGCATCATTATCGCGACGCAATTGATAAAATTCTCTTTTACCTGTAGCGAACCTGAGAAGGAGAAGGTCGCTTGGAAAAGAGGCAGCCTGCAGATGAGTGAGAACGAAAGCGGGATCCTTGATGAGAGCGTACCAGGTCTTGCAAACGGCGGTGTATTTCACCGCCGATTTCACCGGGAGTCTCCGGAGGATTTGCAGGATGATTTCCTCCGGGAAATGGACACACATTTCTTCTTCGCGAGGCATCTATCTGGATTCCGGAGACAAATACTCAGACTCTAAATTCGATCCAAATCGAAATTTGAGAGTGAAATTCGATTAGCTCTAGTCGGGTCGGATGGTGGAAAGATCTGATGCAAGTTTTCCATACTCAGGAAAAAAAATCTGATTGCAAAAATTTTTAAAACAATCAAATAAGTAAAAATTAAAATAAAAATGACTGGTTAAAAAAAGAGTGGAATGTGATAGTCCTAGTTTTTAATTAAAGAGAATTGATTTAACTTAATAATCTTATCCATCCTCCTCCATTTGTGTTTTAGTCCATATATCGTACAGGCGTGGTAGAATGTGATAGTCCTAGTTTTTAATTAAAGTTGTATATATTCTCTTACAAAAATATAAGAGTTCATTTGGAAATAACATACGGAGTAATAGTCATTCTAAAATAACATACTCCATAGTAGTTGATGGTGTAAATACCGTGTAAATATAAAATTAAATAAGCGGAAGGGTTATAGGTGAGAATACATGTAACTCGGTCTATTATTAATGATAGTAGGGTTGTTTACAAGATTTGAGCCGTATGAATTAATTAAAAGCATGCCTCGCAAATGAGGCTTTTAGTTCTATTTATAATAATGACTAAGTACGTCAAGCACGTCTCTGCCCTTTTCCCATTCAATTTTTATATTATTTTTTAACACTTAATTTAATTAAAATAATTACACAAGAAACTTAAGTTAAATATTTCATTAACATTAAATTTAAAAGTAGATAAAAAAAAATATTTAAAACACATTTAAAGAGCCGGACATGAAAAACAAGGTCCCCAGAACGACAAACCCCGCCACTCATGGATTTATCGAAATCCAAAACTTTAAATTGCATCTGACTTTTGACAAATCACAGAAAATGCCTTAATGTTGTTAATTTCAAAAAGAAAATGTAGTTGAACGCTAAGGCAATCAATCGCGGTGGGGAAAAAATGAAAATGTTACTCCCATGGGAGTCATGAAGATGCAAGGTTCGACTCTGAATATCACTCTACCCAAGTGGGAAAGAAGTGTTTTCAAGTAAAACCTAGGGACTCGACTCCACAGAAACATAGTCAAAGCAAATATTGCAACAAAATTAGGCCGAGATAGAAATCGCAGGGGAACACAACACTACTAGTGTTATCAACTTTTGGCTCAAGGAGTAGAGTGAGTAACGAAGAGTACACCATCAATCATTATCATACATATAATCCCAGGTAGAATGAATGAAAACTTTGCCAATTTGAACATGTGAAGGAAGCAAGTTTACAGACCTACTATGGATTCAGGAATGTCCATATCAGCTCCTGTAATGGGGTTGGATGTTGTTGTTCTCATACTTGTACTCCATTTGGGAACTTCATATTTCACTTTCGCAATCTGCACATATTACAAGCATTTTAGAAATAATCATTCGAAGGACAGTCTCTTCAATCCTAGGGCAGTCCAAGAGCCAATTACAATCATGTATTGGTTCTTGCAGAGATGCAAATGTTTAAAAATTGTGCAGCGATAGTACAATGCTACTCATAGGCACAGATTTCACATCTAAAGTTCAATGATGATCATCAATTAGTAAAACATATCAATAATAACTTGATAATTTGTGTTTTCCCATGCTTCCATAAAGTCAAATCCAACATCAAACATCACTTGTATATTTCAGAAGTAACAAAACAGCATAAAACACAATGCAATATAATGGAGTAAATAAAGATCTGTCTTCTGGCATTAAGTGAATTAAGCTAGAATTTCAATCAAAACCAGCTTGATAATCTTTATCCCAAGAGAAAGTTATACGTAAGACAATCAATGGAAAATACAGCAGTCGTGGAACATTAAAAAAAGCCTTCAAAACAAGAGAACATTACCCTTAAACAAGCACATTACACATTTATTCAGACTTCCTCCTCAGCATCTTGTTCCCCTTTGTCAAGTAGCACCACACTCTCCACAAAGTTTCCAACAAATGAATGACTACGGTCGGTCCTGATTCCAAGACGCTTTAGTTGCTGCTCCTGTTGGTCGCAGTTCAAATCCAGTGTAGCTAGCTCGTAACCAATCCCATGCTCCTCACCCACCTTCAATAAAACTTCCCCATTCTTCCTAACCCCAATCACGGCAAGCAAGTATGAATCAAAAACTAACTCTCCGTTTTCATCAATTGAATGTAACACCTTTGTCCACGAACTATCTACACCATACTCCTTCATGACCCACAACTCAAGCTGATTGTCATCTAAATCTTCAAAGGTGCCAATGGAAGCCACGGCAATGGATTCTTCATATTTAATCAATGACATTTGAGGTACAAAGTGAACTAAAGTTTCGGGAAAGTTCATCACAGAAAACTTTTCAGTGCTTAAATCCAAAACTAAAACCATATGTGTAAAGTCGCCAGGATTCAAATGTCCCATCCAATGCAAAGCACCTTTCACAAAGGACGCCTCCCGATATGCATAACAACAATGCTTGGGAGAGACGCCACTAAGCCTCATCCAAGAACGCCTATTTAATGAAAACAACCAAACTTCAGTCAACTCTTCTCTATCGCCCTGAGACACAACTAGAAGTACCTTGTAGTCATTTGATACCGGATCAAACCCGAAACCCAGGGTAGAATCCTCACAGCTCTTGAATGGAAAATCAGGCTTGGGCAAAATGAAATGTTTGTGAATGGAAGGATTCCACAAAATGATATTGTGATCATCACTATGAACATCTCCCAGACAAACCAGCCCATTACATGTACCAACAAGCCTAAAAATCCAACTACACCTGAAGGGCACTTGGAGCTGCTTGAGCTCTTCAAATGCGTCATTGTCGCGACGCAAATGATAAAACTCTCGTCTATCTCTAGTGAACCTGAGAAGGAGAAGATCGTCGCAAAGAGACGCAGCCTGCTGCAGATGATTGGAAATGAAAGAGGGATCCTTGATGAGGGCGTACCAGGTCTTGCAAACGGCGGTGCATTTCACCGCCGATTTCACAGGGAGTCTCAGGAGGATTTGCAGGATGATGTCCACAGGGATGATGATTTCCTCAGGGAAATGGACACGCATTTCTTCTTCGTAGGGGATCTAAATTCGGAGTGAAATTTGAATTAGCTCTCTCCGGTTTCTCAACCTTTCCACTTCAACATGAGGGAAATGGTCTTCCAGGAGTCGGGTCGGGTGCTAGAAAGATCTGATGGAGGTTATCAATGGCCGATCCATCGCCGGATGATTAGGATGATTTAAACTAACAACGCTGTGGAAGTTTAACAGAATCGATTAAACTAATCAATTTCTCTCACTTAATCGTTAATAATCTTCGTCTTCCTCTATTTTTTTGACTCTTTTAATTTGTTTTTAAATTACATTCGACTGAATCACATGGGTTTGGTGTTTTCAAATTATGATATAAACTACTCCAGCATTTTAACCCGACTTCTAACTCTTGTGACTTATTTGGTTAGGAGAAAAAATATTTTACTCAATAAATTTACATTCAAAATGTTAACGGTTGATTTAAAAAGTGTTAGGAAATTTTGTTGGAGAAAATATAGTTTCAAGCCAATGAAATTTTCATTTATGCTCCCTCCGTCAATCAAATTCAGGCATAATTGGATTCTTAGAAAAATTTTAATGTAGAAATAGCAAGTGACATCATCATATCTATCATTTACTAATTTTTTAATATAACATAATATTTCCATATATTATATCATAACTGGTAAATAAAATTATTTCATTTCAATTAATGAGTTTATTAGGTATCCTTTTTTTTAGTGCTACTCTCTTCTTTTGAGATACTCCTTGTTTTTCATATTTGTAGAGCGGCGAAGTCTGCCACACATACTTTAGTTAGGAGTTCTTTCCTCTTTCATTGTGTTTGGGAGGTGTATATTATGGATCTTTTAACTCATTAATAGAAGTTTTTTTTCTTTAAAAAAAATTAATTTTACTTCATTAATAACAAAAGATAATCACTCATAATTTTTTTTTCTTTTAGCTAATATTTCTTCCATCTTTCATTGTAATTAATTGCCTTCCATAAGTTTCTAATAATTTTTTAGTTACTATGATTGTCTTACCTAAATACATGAAAAGTTGAAAACTTATCAAAAAATGATGCTACATAGATTTTGACACATGTCATTTTTTAAAGAGTCACATGTCATCTTTTTAAAGAGTCACATGTCAAATTTTTAGAGTTAAAAGTCTCAAATTTAAAAGTTTAAATAGTACGAGTAGCTACAACATTATACTCTGTATCTTTCAAAGTTTAAATCTTTTTAATAATTTTATTCTTTTATTCATGAGGCGTATAGACCGCAAAGTGTATTATATTATACACGGAGTAGTCCGTACTACTTTATGCTAGAATGTGATAAAAGAGAACTCTAGCTTAGGCGCTCGATATTTGAACATAGTATATAAGAGGTCTAGTGTTCAAAGCCAATGGTCGTAAAGATTTTTGAAAAAGTTTTGCGAGAAAAAAAATTGATTCCCCAATTCAACCGGGCGGTTAAATTTTACCGGTTTGAGCCGGTTCATTGCACATTACATTCTCTTAGGCTGGATTGGACCAGACCGGTTTTTCTCAAGATTGAGTTCATTTAGAAAAAATTTAGATTGGCCATGTTTTTGGTACCTAAAACTTGGCCAATTATATGACACATTACATATTCCAACGGTCTAACACTCTAACCCCACCCCTAAACCACACTCTTTTTTTTCTTCTCACATGCATTATTTTCTTCGTCTTTGTGAAAGAGCTGAGATTGAAAGCTCCATCAAAAGCCTTTCAAGCCAACTACATATATGTATTGTATGTATACAAATAATCAATTATTACACATTTTGCACGCTTACATTCGTAACAGATAGGTTTCTGAGTTTCCACTTGTATGGGAAGAAGGGAGTAATATTCTATATTCTACCTAGTATATAGTTTTTTTTTAATCAGTCAGACTTCAGAACAAGATCATACTTAAGCTACAATAACAGGATCAATATCGACTTGTTCTTTTAAGCTCGTTCCTACACTCGTAACAGATGGGTATCTGAGTCTCCGCTCATATGGGGACGGAGAAGGTAATATAATATTGTACATTCTATATAGAGTTTTCTTAGCCATGAGGCTTCAAGTTGTTTGAAGAGGATCACACTTGAGCTAAGGGAAAAAAACACAGAACTACAGAAGGATAGTAAGTCCCATGTTCTCTTCAATCCTATGAAAGTCTAAGAGCCAGCCAATTACAATCAAGTATTGGTTCATGCAAATACATCATTGGAGGATCATATATAACCCAATATATACTTGATAATTTGTACTATTCCCACAGTTCCATAAACTCAAATCCAGACTCAATCATCACTTACTGTATGTTTCAGAGGTAATTGTTAGGTTGTGGAGCTTGATTTATTCTCTGTAATTGTATATATACTGTATATCATCAATATACACCTACGTGGTGTTACCAAGAAATACTTCACTCTTTCTCATTTCTCTCTTGTTTTTTCTGCATCTTTTTCATCGGATTTCAGTGTGTGTTGTTGCCCATCAAAAGAGTAAGTGAGTAACTAACAAGACAGCATAAGAACACAATGCCACAATACAGCATATAAAAAATGCATCAAATAATTTAAAAAATAATTATAGATCTAGCTTCTACGCATCAAACAAATTGAACTAGACGCTCAATTAAAACCAACTTTAGTCTTCAAATTAGAGCACATTATCCTTCACAGTTCACAAGTAAGAGAAAACAGAAACCCTCCTAGTACTAAATGCCAAGCATAGTCCTATGCCAATGATGTCATTTTAGGGGACATTTACAAAACAGAAGAGATGGGTTCACTTACTAGTTAATATTCATTCACTTTCATTCATTCAGACCGCCTCCGACACAATATCTTTTTCCCCATTGTCAAGTAACACCAGGCTCACCACGTACCTACCAAAAAGAAAATATTAAATGTTGTCCAGTGCACCAATACGCTTAAGCTGCTGCTGCTGTTTCTGATGATCCTGTCGGTGGCAGTTCAAATCCAACATTGCTAGCTCGCAGCCATGCCCTTCCTCCCTTCCCACATTCAATAAAAGTTCCCCTTTCTTCCTAACCCCAAATATGTCAAACACGTCTGTACCAAAAACTAACCCTCCGTTTCTGTCAATTGAATGAAACACCTTTGTCCAAGAACTATCTACACCATACTCCTTCATGACCCACAACTCATGCCGTTTGACATCAAAGCTGCCATGATTAACCAGTGCAATGGAATCTTCATACCCAATCAAGGACATGGACATTCCAGGTGCAAATTGAGCTAAAGCATCGGGAATATTGATCTAAAAAAATGTTTCGGTGCTTATATTAAAAGCCAAAATCATATGTAAATAATGGCCGTAATGCAAGGCACCCTTCACAAAGACCATCCTTGCAAAAGCACAACCATGCTTAGGAGAAACATCAGTCAGCCTAATCCAAGAACGCCTGTTTAAGGAAAACAACCAAACCTCAGCCAAATCATTGGCATCGCCATCAGAAGGCACAATTAGAAGTACCTTGTAGTCATTTGATACCGAATCAAAACCAAAACCAAAGGTAGAAAAATAATAGCTCTCGCGGGTCAAATTTGACTTGGGCAGATCAGGCTCGGGCAAAATGAAATGTTTGTGAATGGAAGGATTCCACAAAATTATATTCCAAGCACCTTCCTCAAAATCCGACAAACAAATCAGCCCATTACATGTGCCAACATTATAGCAATCATCAACTCCGGGCTTGGAGGGTAAGGGGAACTTCTTATACTCTTCAAAGGCGTCGTTGTCACGACGCAAATCATACACCGTTTTCATGAGCGTTCTCTCATCACAGTCAGGGTAACAGAGAAGGAGAAGATCGTCCTGAAGAGACGCGGCCTGTTGCTGATGAGTGGAAATGAAAGAGGGATCTTTGATGAGAGCGTACCAGGATTTGCAGACGGCGGTGCATTTCACCGCCGATTCCACCGGGAGTAGGCTGAGGATGAGCGTGATGACTTCCGGAGGCAAATACTGGGTCATATTCTTCATCTCCTTCGCTATGTTGGGAATTAAACACATAACACACACAAATATCTGCGAGAATCAAGTGAGAAATAGAACACAAACGACACACAAGAATTTAACGTGGTTCGGTTTCCCTAATCCACGGCTGCAACAGGAGGATTTTCTTATTTCACTTGTGGTCACGAGATTACAAATACAAGCCCTCTATATATAGGGGAAAAACTAGGGCTACGCACAACTAGGCCGGGCTGACAAACAAGCCCAAGCCTCCACAAACCCAACATTCTCCCACTTGGAGGCTTGATAATCATCAACTGCCATCCACCACGATTCCCTGTACATCGAGTAATCTTCCTCAGCTCTCCTGTTGCAGCGGCCCTATCATCAGACAACTGAAAGGCCCGTTGAAGCTCTCCCAAGCTCCAACACATCAGTCACGGTAAAATCTGCCCCTGACTCGTCCTCGGTCCCTACCGGCTCGCACTGCAGATGCACACTGCCGGATCCTGGAACATCCTGAGAACAAACACTCTCCATACTCAGCAAGAAATTTTCTGGAGATGTTCTAACAGCTGGAATACTGGTTCTCTTGACCCACTGTCTTCTAGGCAACTTGGCTGAAGCGCCTCTTGAGCTCCCACTGCCACAAATACCTCTGACTGGCCTCCTTGAACCTTTCCTCGCTCTTTCATCATGAGTCTGACCTGTGGCTCTAGGTTTCTCTCTTGCATAGACAACCTTATTCTGCTCACGAGACTCTGTGAACCGTACTTTGTTTCTCTTCTGAACTGGGACAGTCACTCCCTCAGATGGTAACTCGACCATAAACAACGAACCACTCTTCCTTCCGCGGGCCATGACAAGATTTCCCTTCACGACCTTCCACTGCCCATCTCTGAACTTCACCTGGAGCAGCGACGAAATAGATCTCCTCTCCGGGCGGCTGGAATTTCTGGGTGATTGTAGCGGCGCTCTGCTTGTGGGAGCCGGTAGGGACCGAGGACGAGTCAGGGGGCAGATTTTACCGTGACTGATGTGTTGGAGCTTGGGAGAGTTTCAACGGGCCTTTCAGTTGTTTGATGATAGGGCCGCTGCAACAGGAGAGTTGAGGAAGATTACTCGATGTACAGGGAATCGTGGTTGATGGCAGTTGATGACTATCAAGCCTCCAAGTGGGAGAATGTTGGGTTTGTGGAGGCTTGGGCTTGTTTGTCAGCCCGGCCCAGTTGTGCGTAGCCCTAGTTTTTCCCCTATATATAGAGGGCTTGTATTTGTAATCTCGTGACCACAAGTGAAATAAGAAAATCCTCCTGTTGCAGCCGTGGATTAGGGAAACCGAACCACGTTAAATTTTTGTGTGTCGTTTGTGTTCTATTTCTCACTTGATTCTCGTGTGAATAACCTGTCTCTGATACCACTTGTTGGGAATTAAACACACAACACACACAAATATCTGCGAGAATCAAGTGAGAAATAGAACACAAACGACACACAAGAATTTAACGTGGTTCGGTTTCCCTAATCCACGGCTGCAACAGGAGGATTTTCTTATTTCACTTGTGGTCACGAGATTACAAATACAAGCCCTCTATATATAGGGGAAAAACTAGGGCTACGCACAACTGGGTCGGGCTGACAAACAAGCCCAAGCCTCCACAAACCCAACACGCTAGGGATCTGGATTCAGGAGGCAAATAGTCCGACATCTTCTTCTTCGTCTTCTTCTTCCAAAAGTATCGAATCGAAATTTGGGTGAAGTTCCGTTCTGACTCTCTTCAATTTCTCGCCCCTTCCACTACTACTTCAACATCATTCCTAACTGCCTGTTTGGTTGGGAGAGGAGAGGAGGGAATGAGAAGGGATCCTCGGACCTTGTTTGGTGGAAATACAAAATAAATACTGGTATTTTATTTTAAAAATATTCTATTTTAGTATATCTTCAATGTTTTATTCTTACTTTTATTTTTTGACTCAATTTTTGATAGAAATATTCCTTCCGTCTAAATGTATTTGTCTAGTTTGATTTTTTCAAATAATATTGGATAAACTTTGAACTTCAATTAAAAAAAACCGAAATGTAATTTTGTATAAAATGATTTTATTTGATTTATTTTGTTTAGAACCTTACAAATTTTATTTTATTATTCTAATATGCGATACATATTGAGAGTAAATGAAACTCGAAATTTAGCTAGTTTAACTAAAAAAGTCAAATTGAACCAACACTATGACAGAGGTAGTATATCGTGTTTCGATATAAAGGTAATATCAATAAGTTTTTTTTAAATGTAGTTTAAGAAATCACCCTAAATATGAGTAAAACATAGATATATAAAGTATCAAAAAAGGAGTTCCATGTTTTTATTTTTTAAATAGGAGCTTGTATTGTGTTAATGTAGCACTGTAGATGTACATTTTACGTAATGTACATATTCATGATTGGTAATGTCAATGCATTTAACTCATATTTCGAGAATAAAAATATGAAAAATATTATTTTGGTATATTGTCAGTGTTTTACTCCTAGTTTAGTCTTTTTCCCAAGTAGTTTTGAGTTATTAATATTTTATAAATTATATCTAAGTATAAATATCGATATTATTGTCAAAATATTATGTTGCAGACCTTAAAAGGTTAAACAGGAAGATAAAATCAGTAAAACAAACATACTCGTGTCGTCCCAATAAAAAGTTTACATTTGACTTTACAAAGAGATTAAAATAAATAAAATTGTTGAAAATGATACATAGGTAAGATAAATTATGAGCACCACAATTTGAGTTGCCATTTTTCTTTTCATATGTGTCTTTTAGTTTAATTCGTAGTAAACTCGGCCAAATAGCTCGGATGCCCTATGTGGTTTGGAAAATAGGCTCCAATATATAACTCTTCTGTTTTCAAAATTTATTTCTAAACTCCATGTGGTTTCAAAGCGTTACACCCACACCCTCTCTGATCAGTTTCCAATTATTTTTCGGCGAAGAGGAGGCATTCATGCTCTTTTCTTATTTTTGGTTTATTATTTGTGTTTTCCCTTTCTTAAAAAATATTTTCTATCTCTTTTTCCTTTTCCTTGAATTTTTTAAAAATATTTTCAATTTTTATAATATTTTAAAAAATTAAAAATTCTTTGTGTTTGAAGTAAAAATAAAAATAAAAAAATTAACACGCATTACATTTATCTCAAATTAAACATTTTCACTTTTTGTTACTTAGAATAATTTTATGAAAAGTTCAAAAATAAAACCCAGAATAAAAAATAAAAATATAAAAAAACGAAATGAAAAAAAATTAAAATACGCAAAAAAGTCTTATACAAAAAAATAAATTCGGACACACCTTAAAAAGTCCTTAGAATTGAGATGTCCAAAAAGGATATTCATTTTTATTTTAGTATTTTTTTTTCTTATTTTATTCCTCAAGTTTTTGAAGTTCTCAAAAAAATTACGTACTTTTTTTCAGAAAAAACAAAAATTGTTAATTTGAGACGTACATATGCATTACTTCGTATATGTTAATTTTTCAAACAAAAATAACTTTAAATTTTAAGAACATTATAAAAATAGTTTTAAAAAACCTTTATTAATAAATGAAACAAATAAAGGAAAAAAATAGAAAAAACGAAAAATAAGCGAAAAATAAAAATCAGCACTTATACCCCCTATGGTTTAGAAAATATGCACCAATATCCCCCTTTTTCGCCGGAAAATGATTAGAGAGGACACAAGTGTAGGATTTAGAAACTGCAAAAGCTTTAGAAATAAGTTTTGAAAACAGAAAGAGTATTAATGCCTACTTTACAAACCACGAGAGGCACTGACACTATTTGGCCTAGTAAATTCAATATTATGGCTCACAACTTCGCTAGAAATGCTAAAGTGATGTTAAGTTCGGGGGATTGTTTTCCAACTACTTTTATTTCGTAATCATCTGAATAACAATTCTTTTGTTGCTTCAAAAAAATTATTACTCTCATTTAGTTGAATTTAATTTTTTTGAGTAGCTCACATATTCATCAGTGTATTACGGAGTATTTGTTAAAACTAATACGGAGTACTCCATATCGAACAAATCAATGTAGTATCAGTTTAGTTTAATTTAATTTAATGGCGGATGGAAAAGTAATTGGATATCACCCAAAGGTAATTGGATATAAAACAATTTTTGTTCATTTGGCTGTAGGGGATTCTTGAATTTTTTTCCATAACTTTTGGTTCTTTTTATGGAAATGGAGTGTATGATGCAAAAGTGTGATTGTATCAAGGCCTCTTCTAGAAATATGAAAGAACAAGATTGACTCAGTGCAAAATTCAGGTGTTGGCCCTATTTTATTTTTTCAGAGTGAATTTGATTTTTAATAATCACTTTTCTAACAATTTAAATATTAAAATTAAATTTATATTAAACTTAAAAACATCAAGGAACTAGAATAATGAAATTTAACAATATGGAACCCTAAAAATTTGGAGACCATGTGTGGGTGGACACCTTGCACATCCTTTAGGCCACCCATGCATTGTATGTTTGCAAATCATATTGTTTCTTGGCACTTGAATATAGAGGGGGCTTAGTCTTACAACAATTATTTTTACAATATTTCTCACAATAATGCAATTGGGGCACCTACGATGCTCCATTCGCAAAATTGATTGTTCATATCCCCTCTAAACATTCCAGTAAACCCCCACACCCCGTCCCGGCCCTTATTTTAAGGGTCTAAGGAAGAGCACAAAATTACAAAAGTATTGAACTAGACATTCAATTAAAACCAACTTTATAGTCTTCTTAATCCCAAGGGCAAGAATTGCGAAAGGTAATCAATAGAAAATACATCAGGCATAGAACATTAACAGTAGCCTTCAAAAAAGAGCTTATAATCCTTCACTAGTAAGAGAAAACAGAAACATTCCTAGTACTCAATCAATGTCAAGCACATCCCAATTCCAATGATGTAATTTCAGAACACATGTACGACACGAAAGAGATGGTGCACTTACTGGTTAACATCACTTCACTTTCATTAAACTCAGACTGCCTCCGCCACAACATCTTCTTCCCCATTGTCAAGTAACACCATGCTCTCCTCGTACCTGCCAAAATGTGAATAATGGAAGTCGTCCAGAACACCAACACGCCTAAGCTGCAACTCCTTCTGATGTTCCTTATTGTGGCAGTTCAACTCCAACGTTGCTAGCTCACAACCAAGCTCTTGCTCCCTGCTCACATTCAAAAAAAGTCTCCCTGTCTTCCTAACCCCAAACACATCAAGCACGTTTGTACCAAAAACTAACCCTCTGTTTTTGTCAGTCGAATGAAACACCATTGTCCACGAACTATCTACACCATACTCCTTCATGACCCACAACTCATGAGAGCCGTGGCAGTTAAACAGTGCAATGGAATCTTCATATTCAATCAGGGACATTTGAGGTGCAAATGGAACTAAAGCATTGGGAATATTGATCACAAAAAAACTTTCGGTGCTTATATTAAAAGCCAGAATCATATCTAAGTATAGGCCGTAATGCAAAGCACCTTTCACAAAGACTGGCCTTGGAAATGCCCAACAATCATGCTTGGGAGAATCATCAGTGAGCCTTGTCCAAGAATGTCTATTTAGGGAAAATAACCAAACCTCAGCCAAATCATCGGCATCTGCATCGGCATCAGAAGGCACACGTAAAAGTACCTTGTAGTCATTTGATGCAGAATCAAACCCAAACCCTAAGAGAGCATAATAATGCCTCTCGCGGGGAGAATTAGGCGCAGGCAGATCAGGCTCGGGAAAAATGAGACGTTTGCGAATGGAAGGATTAAACAAAACTATATTCCAAGCACCTTCCTCAACACGCGAGAGACAAATCAGGCCATTACAGGTGCCAACGATGTAAGAACCATCAAGTCCTGGCTTGGAGGGTAAGGGGAACTTCTTATACTCTTCAAAGGCGTCGTTGTCGCGACGCAAATCATACACCGTTCTCAAAGGCGCTCTCTCATCACAGTCAAGGTAACAGAGAAGGAGAAAATCGTCCTGAAGAGACGCGGCCTGGTGCAGATGAGAGGAAATGAAAGAGGGATCTTTGATGAGAGCGTACCAGGATTTGCAGACGGCGGTGCATTTCACCGCCGATTCCACCGGGAGTCGGCTGAGGATGAGCGTGGTGACTTCCGGAGGCAAATACTGGGGCATATTCTTCATCTCCTTCGCTAGGGATTCAGGAGCCAAATAGTCCGACATCTTCTTCTTCGTCTTCTTCGCTCGCAACGTATCGATAGATCATTAGTAAAATCCGGTTTTAAACTGGAGTGAAGTTCCGTTCTGGCTCTCTCTCTAATTTCGCGTCTCTTCCAGTTCCACTATTTCAATATCATTCCTAACTGCTGGTTGGGTTGGTGGGAGTGACGATCGGTTACGGTTCATATTTACTTTAATTATATTAACATGATATTTGAAATATACTCCCTCCGTCCCAAATTATTTGCCACATTTGTATTCTCGAGACAAAATATCAAGTTTTTCCAATTCATTTTATTTACATATTGATATAAAAATAAAAAAAAATTTACATATCAAAAAACTACATGAAAAATTTTTCGAAATAAGAGGTGTCAAGAATATTTTATTTTATCAAATAACCAATGAAAACGTCGAAATAAACAAAAGTTCCCGTAACTGCTGAAAAAGCAAATGTTGTGAATATTTAGGGACGGAGGGAGTACAAATTGATATATAATGAAATATAGAGATTTTATTATTTTTAAGACACAAAATATAATTGGTTTACAAATTTTGAAATAGGCAATTCATGATTATTTGAATACATTATATAATTTTTTAAGAAAAAAAGAAGCAATTATTCAGGTAATTATTTTTGAATCAAATAAAAATTCATAATTTTTAGAATATAAACTTTCACATACTTATGGTACTCCAATTTAACTTCCGTAATATGCTTTGGTGCCTATTTTACCACACAGGTTTTGGTGAGTTTAGACTAACAATTTTTCTTATCACTCTTAATTAATTCTTACCAATATGTATGAAAAGAATTATTTCTTTATTGATTTTAGAATTTTTTATTTTTATTTTCGTATTTAGATTAGAAATAATAATCATCCTAGAATTTTTATAAAAATGGTAGCTTAGATATACGCTATATATTTTTTATATCATCTCAACCAAAAATTGAAACATAATAATTTTTAGTTAATGCTTACCATTATATTTTTTGTATCCTCCCAACCAAAGAAACATATTAATTATTAATTAATGTTTACCAATATTCTTGTACTAAGGTTAGAAATATTAATTAAGCTAGCCTTTTAGTAAAATGATAACGTAGAATTATGGAATATACTTTTTTATCATCCCAACCAAAAAAAGAAAACGTAGTGATTATTAATTAATACTTACCAATATGTAGAAAAAATAATTTCTTTATTGATGTCGGAATTTTTATTTTCTTATTTTTGTATTTAGATTAGAAAATATAATCAGCCTAGCAGTTTGAATAAAAATGGTAACGTAGAAATACGATTTATATATTTTTTTATATTCACCCAATCAAAAACATGGAAACATAAAATTTTTTAATCAATGCTTACAATTATTAATGCTTACTCACATGTTACTCGAGTACACGCACTTTCTATATATTACTTTGACATTTTTATATTCTCCCAACAAAAAATGATAATATAGTACTTATTAAGTAATACTTAACAGTATTAAATTATTAATGCTGAGAATAAATGCAATAAAGTAACATGCAAAAACTTTTTATTTTTTTCTCTCAGGTTTATGTAGGAAAACAATTTCCCCCTCTTTTTAAATTAATATTATACAAAAGCTATATAAGGTAATCATTATATATTGAAAGCACAATTATATATGGAAATGTTATTTTTATTCTTACTATTTGTTGATTGCACAATTATATATGGAAACGTTGATTTATTTTCAAAGACCAATAGCATCCGTTGATCAAGATGTTGATGCTAATCGACGGATCACAATGCGTGTGCAATTGGGCGGGAAAATGGCTGGAGCAATTTCCCCTGCTTTTAATACGTATTTATTTATTTATATTGTTTAATACGGAGTACTACGTATTTATTTATTTATTATTTATTCAAGTATATTAGTTTTATTTATTTTATTTATTTCAAATTATTATTTTTATTATTGGTGTTGTTGCTGCTGCTATTATTATTGTTACTACGGAGTATTATTTTATTTCCATGACATTGTCAGATAAAAACTGTCCATCTTTTTAACGAGGTACTTCGGGTCATCTTATTACATTATCGGGCAATGTCATGAAAATCATTCCAATGATGAAAATACATATCAACTCTTAGAGCACCAATGTAAATATATATAAAACTCTTCAGACTATTGATATCATTTGTTAAATCTCAAAGTATACTTATGTAAATTCAAGCAATTCTAGGACGTACTATTGATGTGAATTTTTCTAATCTAGTTTCAATCAACAATCAAGTAATATTAATTTTTAAAATTTATTTCATTTGACTAAAAATATTAATCTTCTATAAGGGTATGTTTAGTACACGAAATTGAACACATTAAAATTGAATTGGGAATTAAAATTTTATAAATTGATTTGGATCGAATAGAATTCTCTCTTTCCAATTCATTGTTCGCATTACTAATTCCAAATCTGCATATTCTTGTCTTACTAAGAGCACTGGTAATGGTCATGAAGCCTCGGGGCTTCAAACCGGGGCTTCAAACTTTCTCTCTCTGCCACGTCAGCTTTAACTTACACCCAGAATTCACTGGAAATGGTTTTGAAGCCCCGGGGCTTCAAATTGGGGCTTCAAACCTTCATTTTTTACATTTTTAAATATACATCTTCTAAATTTAAATTAATAAATTTAAATTAATTTATTATTTTAATTAATCGCAATGACACTACTGCATAAAAAAATTAAGTTCATTATTAAAAAATCTTACATTCATAAAAAAACATTAAAAAAAATTACATTCATTAAAAAAATTACATAAAAAAACAACAGTACAAAGAAATCACTAATTATTCGACGACTAAAGATATGCGCGATCAAATCCGCCGTTAGTGCATTGTGAATCTCTCGGCTTCGAATTTCTTGGCGGTTGCGTCGTTTCTTTTCTTCGGTG